ATATAAGGAGACGTACTCAGTATTACATAGATCAAATAAAGTTAGTTAATAGTTATTTTTTTATATAATTATTTCTTACATTGTTTGTAAGCTGAGCCGAAAAAAAGGCAAATTTTGTTTTTAAAATATTCTTTGTTGTGGAAAACATATTACATATAAAAAGGTATTCCTAATTTGGGTTTATAAAGTTTTCAAGTATAAAGTCATAACAAATTTTTGAATAAACACTTTATTGAATTTCAAACTCTCTATTCATTCCAAAGTATATTGCATTGTACTAGTTTGTGTGTAAATATAAAACCGACTCCTGAGGTTTTCTGATATTGTCTAATATGTAACAAGTGTCTACCTACAGCTGGCGAGGGATAAGAAAGTACAAGGTAAGACATAAAAGATAGTAGAGGTTTGTATGGAACAATTTACAGCTTAATTAAAAATAAAAAAATAAAATCAACACACACACACACACATTGAAATTATATTTCAATATTTCTTTTAATGTATATTCCCGCTCAAAATAAAAAATAACATGGATAACGATCATAGGTATTAAATTATGCAGGTATATTTCAAAAGAGAAATTAAATGTGCCTTTCCTGCCAAGTAAAGCAGTATATTCAGAAGTTTATGACTAAACTTTAAACAACTGTTAGAGTCAGCATTCAGGTAGAGCTATCCTAAACTTACCGAAGAATTTCAATTAAAATTACGAGTCTGATGAGTTGTTGCATTCAGGCACACATTTTTTCTTCTGAAATGACGAAATTTTAAATGTTTCCATTTCTTTCTCACTGGAATGACACAAAAATGTTTCATGTAGTCATCTACACAGTGTTGTTTCTGAGCAAAATTTATCTCTGTTGTAGGTGTTTGCTCAACGTAACCATTGAGAAACAATTGGAAACAAATTTACATGCGTCTGTCTCTTTGGTATTCTTATGAATGAGCATTTGTACAAATGTAATTGCTGGCTTATGAATATTGATCAGAAATATAATAATGACTCATACATATGCAAACAAAATTCACCATACAGAGGGTTACGGGAGACGACACGCTGTCTACGCAGTAAATCAGCAAAGAAAAGGAAAACATAAAAAGTTCAACAATTGTCTGCGACAACTAATTGTTTGCTGTAACTCAAGCCGTTAAAAGATCAAGTCGCAAAAATGCCAACAAAATGTCACCTTTCATTAACCCGCAGTTTGGCTTTATCAATAAACAATGGTGCAAAATTAAAGTAGGTTATCTTGCAATTATTATGTAATAATGACACGGTGACGTTAAAGAATGGTTAAATTTAGCCATTAAATTAATTATTGCTTTGTTCCTAAAACTCAATTGCATCAAACTATAAAATGAGAATTAATGTGATTTATTCTCAGAATAGACAGTTGACAAAGTATATCTGATGGCCTACAGTTGAAAGTAAAATTGAAACGCTTTTAAAACGGGTTTCACATTTCATTTCAAACCCACTTTAGGCGAAATATTGGAAAATAAATCAACAAATAACGTATTTTTTTTTGTTTATCATGTTTCATTAAAATTCCTTAAATCATTATTAAATTCACGATGACGTATTATATTGACGACCGTGTAAAATTATTAATTATTTCTCTGGCATTCAGATGGCAATGCTCAAATCGGCCAATAGCACTGGATTTAATCGCAAGGAAAGGACTCAATATACGAATTTTAACAATATACGAATTTTAAGATCGACTAGGTCGATTAGATACAGAATATCTACGCTGTCATATATTTTTACCTCTTTTTTGCACAAAATTATGGAAATAGTTCTACAAATTATAAAAAAATAATTTTGTGGTATCTGTTTACCAATTGTGCAAATAGCAAAACAGAAACTGTTAGATTTTTTGTTGAAAATTTTCCTTAACGTTGACGTAAAAATTTGTAGTGAATCGTAAAATTTCTCTCAGTGTACAAATAAGGTCACCTAATATAATTTTATTATAAAACGCGGACGGAACATCTGAAAAATAATTTAGAACTATTGAACTGAAAGAAAACTTGTTCTCTAATAACACTATAATTTAAACTTAAAAAAAATCGCAGCGTGTTCGGATATTTGGGATTTCACGATGTGCCTGTCAAAAATGATTAAATGGGGTACTAATTCGGTTGTTATATTTGTATTATTCATCCAGTTGATAATATTAATTGGCCGCGGTAATGGTATAGCCACTGAAACACTTTTTTCGTTTCAAACATGTGTTTTGAGCATCAATTAACCGTAGAGAAACGAGTTTCTGTAGAAACTGCCACTAATTCTCACCGCGGTGTTTTTGAATATTTTATCATAATAATTCAGCTAATTATCATCTCAATTTTTTAATATAAACTATGGTATTTATGTTTTTTTAGACTTTTGCATTTAATAAAACTTTTTATATTGGAGTATCAAATTATTGGTATAAAAATACTTCCAACAGATTCCATAATAAATTACTACAATCTTCTCTCTAAATTTGGATCTACCATTGAATGATTTTTTGTAATTAAGCAATAATATACATCTACTACCAATCTAGGTTTTATTTGTTTGTTTTCCTTACATACTGTAACATTCCTTTTAATTATACTATCTGCCAAAAGACAGTTATTATTTCAAATATGTAAGCTATGTCAGATAAATCATTGGTAGAAGCCAATTATAGATTTGTAGTAATGCTTTAGGTTTAAACTAAAAACGTTTTCAAATTAAAATCGTTGCGAAACTGACAGAATTGTAAGTTCGCTTTGACGGGCTGGATTAAGTAATTTACCTACATTTTTATGAAAACTTGACTGACGCAGCACGATACTTGAAGTAGCCTTTTGACCTGCAACAACTTAATAAGGAAGCTAAATGATTAAAAATAGATGAGAATTAATATAATTTAGTAGAGCCATACAACGTTTCACGAAAGAGGTCAAGATCCTTTTTTACAATAAAAAAGATTCAAGTAACTGTTTTGAAGATTTATTCAAAAAGCCACTTGAAACTGTAAGAAAATGAACTAGTTTATATTCAATGTTAATAAGAATTTTGTTTAAATAATTAAATATTTTATGCGACACTTCAAGTATGTTACTCTGGTGTCTATATCACTGTATTTTTAGGTTATGCCTTGCCTAGTACTGGTTTTGAGGTCTCCATTCCTGGTTAATGAACGGTAAGCCATCAGGGTAGACGTTCAATCACCGGCCTTGATGGGTCCGGAGAGATCATGTAGCGAAGTCTGCCTTAAATTTGAACAATTACATCAACATCGGCCTCCGAATCCATAATTTCACGTTAACTAATTTTCTTTCAAATTTGCAACCAACATAATCGCATTTCCGTACATGTATTGTTCTACTTTTTTTTCTTCCGTTTATCTCCTTGAAGCGTTACTGGACTAGATTACGCCTCACGCTCTTTACTTTTAACGCCTGTTTCATAGACAAGTAGGTATTATTATTGATCTTTTATTTTTTCCATATTATTTTCAGTCATAAATAACTTGTTTACAGTAAACGTTTTACGCTTGCTATTCTTAAGCTGATACTTGGTATTTGAATTACTGGATAATAACATATTCGGTATTTAGTTTTAAATTATATGTGACATTATATTGTAATCATTTTGTTACTATTTCAATTATATGCACACCTTTGTCTACATCCTGAAATAAACATATACAGGGTGTCTCATAATTAGCTGCCAACCCTGAACAGGCCGATTCTATAATCAAAACTAAGTAAAAAAGTTCATATGAACATGGGTCCGGAAATACTTCCTAAGGGCACAGGGACCCATTGAAGAGGGAGGAATGGAAATTATTTTTTTGCAATATCTCACAATTGCGTTGTGATAAATGAATGAAATACACAGCTAAATTTTGATGAGCAATTTGATGGACTAATCCATTTATTTCCACAAGGTCCATTGGGGTGGGTACGGGGGGGCCCTTGGNGTACACGTTGTGTAGATATTTCTTTAATCGATAAATGCCTCGTTAGTGTTACTTTAATGAGTAAAAAAATACTGGACAAACACGCAAGATTTCAGAAAAAATAAATATTGATCAATAGTTGTTACTTAATTTCATGGTAATTTAAAAAAAAATTTTTTGTTTAAATATAATCTAATTTTAATAAAAAAATAATAATAAAAAATTAAATTAAATAAAAATTAATCCTTTAAATGGAAAAGAGAGGAAAGGAAAATTATTATTATTATTTTTTGTGCTAAACCGCCGTGATTTGGCTGTAATTATGCGCATCAATGTCATAAATAGACCACAACGTACTGGGGTTGACAGTGACGATGACGAAGCTGTCCATGTGTATAATTATTGCCAGTGAATGTGTCTTGGTTATAGTTCTATTACTTGTACTAAATATTATTTTCTTTTAATATATGACTTTGCACAACTTTTTTTTGTTATTTATAAAATATTGATTTCTGTTAACATGCGTTATATAAATGCCACGATACCCTTTCACTTTAATAAAGTTTAACAATACCCGATAGTACCCCACCAATAAACCGCGCCATTATTCCATGGCTAGAAATTGGCCTCAATGATTTGGGATCGAGGGGTATTATCCCTCTTTATCCTGCCTCATCTCGTGTAGGCCTGGACAGCCTCCGTAGGTGGGCCCCATCCGTCGTCTACCCCAACCGCAAATGCGGCCGGTGTAGGCGCTTTGTGGGACCTCCTTTTGTCCTGGCTGGGCCCCGCCGGCTAGGGCCCTTTCTTCTTTTCTTCTGGCGCTCTTCTTACCAACAAACCAGAATAGGCCAAAATGTATTGGTCAAAATAAAATATATATTTTCTCTATTCTTAAATTTTATATTTATAGAAACAAAGACGCCAAACTTCCACCTGGGCTATCTGTATGTATTTTGCACCCATTGGGGTCCCCAGATCAGCCCACTTTTTTATTTTGTGTGCCCGTTTCCAATAAGTTTTAAGTGTTAATTACTACAGTAAATTTTTTTGTTCCAGGACGCGTACTAATGGCTTCGAGAGCCCCAAGCAGCCGCACTACACGGCCCACCAGATCTCCTTGGCGCACACAATGATTCCCTCGCGATCTACCCCCAATCTGAGGGATAACAAGACCACCTCCGTATACTCATACCTGCAAAACCAGTCGGGGCTCAACTTCGCCCCCGTCAGCACCGCCCCGCCTACGAGAGATGAGGATTCTCCGCCTCCCGCTCCCCCCGTCAGAGATTCCTCAAGCCTCAAATCAATCAAGTACGGTCCTGGACACGAAAAGTTCCCATCTTGGCCCGTCCCTGCTGCTGCGGATACCCCACAGGTGAGAATATTCAGGAAAACGAAAACAATTATTAACGTTCTCGCTGGGCAATTTATCTCAATTGTTTAATGGAATTAGACCAAGCCTTTAGAATTCAAACAGTTCAAATTAAACGATTTTTTGCGAAGTGCGCAAGTGAAATGTTGCGCGCCTTGTAATTAGAGATCCGTATACTTGGTAAAATTTTTTGACCCGGGTGAAATCTCTTGTGAGAACTAGGTGCCTAGGCGATACAATGGATCGTACAAATTCACGTGCTGAATAATTAACGTGAGCCATCCTGTGACAGTGATTGAGCTGGAGTGGATTTATAAAAATAACCGATCTTTCGATCTTACTTCAGAAGGTCACGGGTGCTGATCTGAAACGTGTGCAAACACGTAATTATATTTATTTCAAATTCCCATTATAGGCTATTGATATGTCCAAAAAAGGAACTATGACGTTGAAGCAATTTTATTGCATGAAGAAAAATTTCGCTATGTTCATAGGAAAAATTATTTAGAGAATTGAATTTCCCATCGAAATGGCTTATTTAAAAAATTTAAAAGGAATACAAAAAATTGTTAATAAACAATTTGAAAATGAAACAAAAAATTCGATTTATTAATTTTTTTTTACTTTTTTGCCTCTAGTTTTTTTTTGAGTAAAGGTAGGTATAGGCATTGCTTCATAAAAAAAAGTAGATAAAATTTCCTTAAAAAAAAGGTTGTACAGTGTTTTTGGATGAAAATTGACTAATATATGGCCGCCCAAATTTAGCCAATTTTACGATTTTCGTCGCGTTTACCCCTTATAAGTTTTAATTACCATTTTTTTTGCAAAAAAAAACATTTCGAATGGTTTGGTGAAATGGTGGAACTTGGAATGGTTTGTTCCATATTCTGCAAAGACTGAATGGGTATCAATTGTGACAATATTCATGAAGTCGATGTTGCAGAAGACGATGTACTTGAAGACATAGATGAAGATAGATTCAATTTGAAAGTGTAAATGAAGAAATGTAGACAAATGAAAAAAAATTATATATATGTATATACATTATTAATAAACTTTGTTGTACTTAAATTCTCAAATTTTTGCTAAATTATTTTATTTTATAAAAATGAAACATCTCCATATTCCAGATAAGTCATAATAATATGATTAACTGTATAGTTCCTTTTAAAATCATATAATCAATAGCCTATTACCAATCAGAACATATTCGTAACTTTTTCTCGATTTGAATCATTTTGGTGTTGAAATATACAGCACAGTATTTTCAGTTAGGACAATATATTTTAATGTTTTATTTTATAAAAAGTAGAGATAAACTTTAAGGTTCCTAATATGAAAAAAAAAACACAAAGTCGCTGTTGTCGTCATCTTTCAAAATGGATGAGTTTAAAAACGTTTAAAAATCTTGAACAATTAATTTTAAAAATTCAATTATTTTCCTAATTTCGCTATTTATATCAGTAGAAGAAATGTTACTAATTTACCAAAAACAACTACAATAATAAAGCATTTTAACCATGATCTCTATTAGTATAAAAAGAGAATTGTTTGTCGGATGATAGTCATGACGAAGTAAAGGAACAGTATCATAGTTTCCAATAGTTGGCTTTCTATTGTAGACTAAATTTCTCATCAATATCACCCTTTCAGTAATATTTAATTAATACCAGAGTTCTTATATACAGGGTGATCATTTTCAATAGAATCAGTTGACCCTCATTATACTCATAATTATATGCTCTGTTCAATGATGTAAAGATTTAATATGATGCAAATAAGAAAATCAAAAGCTTTGGTTATGAAAACATGAAGATCTAGCAAGTCTGGAAATTAATGAATTGCCAGAGACGATTTCCACATCACTGAAAAGAAGAAATGCGGCTTAATTATTTAAATTTGTTCATTCAAATGTAGCGTTTAATTTACTTTTGAAATATTTTTCAACGGTAGTTAAACAACAACCAAAATTCGGATACGAAACATTCACTTTTTAAAGTACATCCATAGACATCTATAATACGTTTATAAACCTCAGAGGGCATCTTTGGACATGAATTGGCATCAGTGGACATGCATAGACATCTACAAACATTTGTGGACACCTATGGACATCCATGAACAACAGTTGATATTTATGAACCTCAACGGACATCCACGAACATTTGTGAACGTCCACAGACATAATATGTGAACATCTACAAACATCTATGGATATCCAGAGTATAGACGGATGTATGAATTTCATCTTTTCAATCATTTTGATTACAAAAGCATTGAGCAAGAAAATCATCTTAGTTTTTCATGTTCTACTAACCCTTGACTCGATGTTACGTTTTCAGTTAACAAAAATTACTATTTTAAATGCGCAAGTATCGACACATTAGAGGGAGATTTCTCCTATTCGCGAACTGATAAAAAGAAAATTTTGGGTAATAGGAAAACCCCCAAAAATGCCTACCCATACATTTTCTCGTACAAAGTACCACATAGTAATCATAGTAATAACAATCTCCATCTCTTCTTTCAATAATAATAAATTCTAATAAGATGATTAAAAAGGTGAAATGGATACATCGCCTATACCGTGAATATCCGTGAATTCTGTAAATGTTCACAGATGTCTGTAGTTGTCCACAAATGTCCACGGATGTTCACAAATGTCCGCGAACGTTCACAGATATAGGTGGCTGGTCGTAAATGTACGAATTCATGAATGTATCCTAAAAAGGAGATATATTTTGTATTTCTGAAACATCCATAATTGTTGGGATAGCTTTAAGTACATAAAAACTTAGCTGTCCGTGGACATTCGTAGATCCGTAGATATTTAGGGACATCTGGGAAATTATTCTTCATACATCCATTGTAGCTCTCAGTTTTCGAGATATTTATAGCAATGTTTGTCTTACTTCTGCTCTAAAAAAAAAGTAGTTTAATATTTGACCACTTTGTACTACCTACCTATTCTGCATCCGTTTTATAACAATAAAAGGAAATTAAGTACCACTATTACCAGTTTAAAAAATGCCGTTACTAGGCGAAGCGATACACAAACGACGAAAACATTGACATATCTAGTTATTATAATATAATTATGCTACGTGGTCAGGATACATTGCCTCACGGTTCGTTATGACAATTATACTTATTAAACGTATCCCAGTTCATTCGGACAACTTAAAATCTGCCAGATCCCCGATAAGATTCATGATGAATGTTTCCGGGAAGGCTAATTCAGATTGGACGCGAAGTGAGGTGAGACGCTATATCCTGCTCGACATCAGACGACACAACTTATTAGTTTGGAATGTTTGAGTGTCGTTGGGGGGACGCGTCAAAGGAATGATCATAAACTTGTGAAATGTATTTTGTCATGATGTTTAATTCAATGAGCGACGGGCGAGGTTCCGGTTATTCGAATGGGTTATTTAATTCAATTAAAACTGATGACGCTACTATTTGACGGCAATTATACGGTTCGCGGCGGGGATTCGTCAAGTCGAGTGGCTTAGTGCTTTTAGAAACTATTACGAAAATACCAAAATATATATTATTTTTTAAACTTTATGAAGAACAGATTAATAAAGTAAGACTAATAAAATACACTATATTTTTATCATACATCATACACTGTAAAAAAAAATCACTTAAATTTCACTCAATAATGTATCAATTTCTGTCCAAACTATTGCATCAAAAATGAGAGAGTTTCGAGTTACTGCTAACTATCAATTGAGCGACTTTTAACTCTATTCTGAGTATATAAAATAGGGTTTCTGGTCGAGACTTCTCGAAGCGAGAATTCCCGGGAAATCTGGCCTTACTCGAGACGAGAAAAAAGTGTCGAGAAATCGAGAAATTTAAACATCACGCGCGTCTTAAGTTCTTGACTGGAGTTCGTTTCATTCATGCGTTCAATTTGTTTCTCGACAAATAACTGAACGGTTAAAGTGGTTTCTCTATCAGCTCATGATTTATTTATTTTAAGTGTTTAAGGCTTTAGTTTACTTTGATGATTCTTTATTTTTAATGTACAGGGTGATTCACTATGTTTTGACCCCCCCTTTAACTTTTTTGTTTTAAGAGTTATAAAAAAATGTGAAATACAAAAATGATAGTAGAAAAACAAATGAAGTTCAAACAAAATGGCCGCGGATGTTAACTTTATTAATTTAAATGGAACACCCTGTATATTTTTACATATTTGGATAGAACGTTCCTTGTCGAGCATAGTCATATAGAGTTTGTTGGGTCCATCTCTAATAATAGGCGAGATAATATTAAAAAACGAAATGTTGTTTTTTTATTAAGAAAATAAGACATCTTGTAATTGTTAGACCTCTTTCAGGCATTTCTGCCTTTTTTCCAATTACGTAAGGATTTAGAGTAAATCTCACTAATTAGACCGTGTGAGGCCAATTACTCATGGACAATCTTATATATGGTAGGTCGTGACAGTGACAGGTAGTAATGTCATGATAACATTGTTATTGTTTGACCGTTTGTATTAGTATTTAATTAAAATGGGTTACACAGAAGTAGAAAATTGAAATATTATTAGGAATTAAAATAAACTATGGTCTTAACTACTCTATCTTATCTTAATTCCTATAATATTTAAATTTTCTACTTCTGTGTAACCCATTTTAAATAAATAATAATACAAACTGTCAAACAATAACAATGTTTTCATAATATTACCTGTCACTGTTACGGCCTACCATATAACATTGTCCATGAGTAAATAAGCCCCTCACGGACTAATTAGTGGGATTTAGTTAAAATACCTATACGCATTTTGGACTATATCAATGTTCGATATGTCAAATAAATCTAAATCCTTACGTAATTGGAAAAAGGCAGAAACGTCCAACAATTACAAAATATTTTATTTTCTTAATAAAAAACGTTCTTTTCGTTTTTTTATATGATCTCGCTTATCGTTAGAGATAGACCCAACAAACCATATATGACTGTGCTCGACAGGGAACGTTCTATCCAAATGTGTAAAAATATACAGGGTGTTCCATTTAAATTAGCAAAGTTAACATCCGCGGTCATTTTGTTTGAACTATTGTTTTTCTACTATCATATTCGAAAATTTCATAAAAAATCGTGCAACTTTTGTATTTCACATTTCTTTTATAACTCTTAAAACAAAAAAGTCAAAGGGGGGTCAAAATATAGTGAATCACCCTGTACCTAGTCTGTGTAGTAATTTTATTATAAGCAGATACCTAATGTTGAAGTGATAAATTAATAGGAAGAACGCTTCTGTATCTTTAAATTAAAGCTTGTTTTTTTTTAAGATTTCTTCGGTTAAATTCCTTATTTACTATTTATTTAATTAAAAGACTGCATGATTAATGATTATTAATAATTATTATTGGAAGAAAACTACGATTCAAAAACATTGAAATAAACATAAATATATTGAAAACGTTTAATAAAAAAAACAAGTTAAAGGTTTTTAAGAAGAAATTCAAAGTTTAATTTAGTTTTGTTAGTAGAAGTAGAAACATAAGTAATAAATAAAAATACTGAATAAATAATAAATGTTAATGATGATTGTTAAGTATAATAGCATGTTTATATTTCGCATTGCAATACCAAAATTATAACTTTTTTAAGTTTCAGAAATTTCTCGAGAATTCGAGAATTCCCGGGAATTCCTAGTCGAGAATTCTCGAGACCCGAGAAATCAGAAACCTTAATATAAAACCAATTTAGAGTTGATTTTTTCTCTAATATGATATAAATTTAACTATTATTGAGTCATTTTTTACTCAGACTTGGTTTCTAATTAACTAAATATTGAGTGCAAAAATCATCACTAATAAATGATTAATAAGAATATAGAGTGTTGAAATTAATTCCCTTCGCGGGGCCTCCTTCTGTCCTGGCTGAGACCCGCCAAGTGAGACCCACCGACGCTAAGGCCTGTTCTTCTAGCGATCACGCTTTTCTGGAGCATCTAAATGACCCCTATCAACTGTGGTCGAGATTACAGAAGCAATATGTAAGTTGTGCCATCTTCACGGCATCATTCAAATTACTCGAAATTAATATACATTTAAACTCGCTCAGTTATGAGGACATTTACCCTGATTTAGGTACAAGTGCACCAAATACGGGTTTACGTGGAGAATTTATTTAAGGAGTACCTATATTTGAGTGAAAGTAGTCAGTTTTAGTTTAAATATAATCACAAATGAGTAAAATGATCCAAATGACCAATATTGAGTGAAAATGTACTCAATAATTTTACTCAAAAGGATTCACTCCGAACCTTTATTGCTTTCACTCAAACCGATTTTTTTATAACATCAAACATTCAAACTTTGACTAAAATAAAAATATTATTAGGCTTTCACTTTTAATATACCAAAAGGCGACCTAGACTCAAGTGATTACATCACTTACATCCACTAATTCAAATTTAAATAGCTTTGGTTAGAAATATCAACTTACCCTTATCTTGAAGCAAGATATTTGAAGTTTTAAAATTAATTTCGTTACCGAATAATTTCTGAAAGTATGTTGATTTTGAAACGGGTTTCTCTAGTTATTATGAATCTCATTACATGTAAACATTTATTGTTCAGAAAAGTCTGTTACTGATTGAATTCTTCAATTTATAGTTTTATGTAAAGCCTTGGCATTTCAAGATATTTGATGTCAATGTATTCTTAATAATTCTTATATTGTGGTATTATTTACATATTTGTGTTAAAATTGCATATTTGTGTAAAGATATCACAGCTAATAATGTCATTATATCGTTAATAAATAAAACAAAAATTAAAAACCACAGCAATTAACTAGACAGGGACATAAATATACCTTAAAAATTAAAGTAATTATTTTTTTTAAATATATTTGAACAGTTTACAATATAAAGAGAAGTAGCTAGCAACGATTTTAAAAATTATTATTTAATAAACATGGCCATATGACCTGGAAATTTATGTATTATACTACCAATTAAAAACCTCTCCAGATCTGTGAATATACTGTAAAGAGAATTAAATTGAATTTACTCTGAAATATTGTAAAGTTTAATATCGTGCTTTTTTTGAAGAACATACTATAATGGCAGAGTAGAGCGATCTAAGTCAATACTGAACGACCACTTAGAAAAGTTGTAGCGGAAAATTTTTGGACAGACTATTAAAGTAGTATTTTACTTAAGTTTTCTTGTTTGACAATTGTACAGGGCGAAGCAATAGATATTAAACGAGATCAAAATCGGTTATACTACCAACTACATACATAAAAAAAATCAGTGCAACGTCACGTTGGATTTGCTGCAAATATTATCAGAGATGGAGAAATCTTAAAATTTTGTTCTGTCTGGCAGATTTCCAGAGCCGTTTCGCCCTATAAGGTGTGCAATGAGTGTGTAACTAATCAGTCACGTTATTACTGCAACATTATGACATTTCACTTCCTAATCGGGATTCCTTTTGAGGAATTTCATAGAGGTCGAGGCGTACGTTGCCGTTACCGACCTCCCGAACATATAGATTATACAATTAGCGGAACCGCACGGCTTATTCATTAAATAAGAAGTCAACCATTGATATCGAATATAAATTATGTAAATTATTTGTAATTGTCCGCAGGCTTTGCGGAGCCAAACCAGTGGAGGTGGTTCCCACAGGTCGAAATCATGGACGGACCATACCAATTACCCCAAAGAGAAGGTGGTAACCTACACGAGGCCCTACATGAAGAGGCAGCATTCGCAATATACCCAGCAGGTTAGTCAACCACAAAGCTTTTTTACTAAAACTGCGGACGAGGAAGAAACTCGATATTAAATATTGCATTACCTGGAAGAATTATTCCCCGTTATCTCGTTGTGCAGTAATTTATTCTTTGGTAATCTTTTGACCTATGTGGAAAAGAAAATCTCGATTTCGGCGTTAAAGTGTCGTGTTAACGTTATACAGGATGTTATAAAGAAGTAGATCAAGTTAATCACACCAAAATTCTTTTCCGTACATTTAAAATATGAATATACAAAACATAATCGACCCACACAATAGTACTGTGTAAAATTTATTGCACTGGAAAAATACAATGAACTCTTTTTTGGCGATGAATCTGGAAAAGTGAAAACAACATAATTTATACCTACATGTCACGACCTTTTCACGTCGAAAAATATACAAAGCTTCCTTAAAAAAAATTGATAGATACGCTATTATAATGTTGGCTGACACTAGAGATTTATTTCGATAAATAAATTACTGTTACACAACCGATTTCAGTATAAAAAAAAATTATTTACGAAGCCTTCGCGTCATATTTGAATTTATCGGTTGATAGAGAAATAAATCCATCCGCACACGCATGAAATAATTTGTGGATTTATAACGAGACAATGCTGACTAAACTTAATCGCTAGGAAAATGGTATTATGTAGGTGCCCAAGCCCACTGGAGTTAAATATTATCATTAACAAAACATATGGCGTGTCTGTTTTCGTTGTCGGACGTTGTTCAACAAGAAACAAGAATTCTTTTTAGTTGTTATTAATATTTATTGTTTTTCAACTAACTTCTGGATACAGAACTGCTATGACTTGAAGGAATGTCCTTTTCCCTTATAAGGGTTGCAAACATTGTTTGCACTTTAATTGATACAGTTTTCGTGTAACTACATAAAGGGTGATTCACAAGTGGTGACCAAAAATGAAACCTCGTATTCTCTGGTGAATTTTAAAGGGTCTAAGTTTTTATCTGCCAAAACTTTTTTGTGCTACGGTGTATTTCACTTTAGGCTGGAAAAATTTTTCCTCCAACTTTTCTGCTAATAAAAGGTATACCTTGCTAAAAAACAAAATTTTTCTCACCCCTACGCTTTCAAGGCCAACTATAGAAAATAGTTTTTCCCCGTTCTATGTCACTTATTTCATATATATTGATTTCTGATTTCTCAATAATAACTTAGAGTAGCTTCAGTTGTTATATGTTGCAACAAACTATAAGTAAACCAAGGTTCATGTATTTTATTGCAAAAATGTAATAAAGTTAAATTGTCAAAAAATCTAGTGATATGAAATACGGAACTGATCTGACTAGACTTAGTTTAAAAAATATGCATTATACGACATATAATCTACCTAAATAAATAAATTATATAATAGAACGATTTTTACTGCAATGCACTCGTACCGACATATCTGTTCTACCTCGCCAAAACGTGCTGGATTATTTTGTGGTACCCTGAAATTACAATTTTGTGCTCAATAAGTGTGCCAATCGAGTTGCATTATTTCATTACTTAATTTAGTTTGTAACACTTCTGATAAATCAATTAAAACGAATCTAACCTACTACACTAAAAGGTTAGTTAGAAATTCAATTTTACCTACTTAATACATCTCGCGTTCTTATTTTTTATGTCAAAGGAAACAGAAATGGTTTCCTAAACGTGTGAAAGTGTTTTTGTTTAAATGAGACGTGTCCACTTTTTAAAATTGGAGATTCACTAATTAGGCAGAGTACCTATGACAAAAAAATTAACTAACATTTTTTATGTGGTAGTAATTTTCACATTGACTAAAAAACTGGCACAAAATCCATAGTGGAAAAATTTAAATTGGAAGATTTGTACAATTAAATGGAAATAAAGTGACATATATGTCCGGAAAAAAGCTAGAAAAACAATTACAGAATATTAAAGAAAAACTGTATTTTTTTTCAAAAGTTTGATGTTTATATCCTTTTCTGCCAATATATGCTTATTTTATACTCTCTGTTTGGGTCTACGAGAAAAATTAGTAGTCAAAAGAGTAGTTGGTAAAGGATTATTTTATGAAAAAATAATACAGAAACCCCTGCATATAGGTGCATTTCAAAAGTTTATTTGAATTATTTATATTTCTAACAATAAGTCTGAGCATTTCAAAAACTCTGCAAAGGAAAAATTAAACAATAACAGCTTTTCTATTACCCATGGATGTATTGTCTGTGGTTTTTAAGATGCAGTGTACAGAACTTTTTTTAAACGATTTTATCAATATGTCCATAGTAACAAAAAATGAATTCGAATCTCATTATTTGGAATATTTTAGAACTGTCGAAATTCGTTAATTGAGAAGTATATGTTCTCAAAGAATTAAAATATGCTTAAAACATGATGCTGACAAGCCCAACATTCTAACTTCAAAAACAGTTACCTAAAGTGTAAAGTGTCTCAACAACACATGAGACTGTTTAACGATTGTCAAAAAAATTACCTAATAAATTGTTTTAATTTTCATCTCAAATTTATGGAATATTATTCTGTACAACTTAACAGCACTTATCTCAATAAAACGAATAAATAAATTAATGAATTGTATAGTCTTTCCGATCTCAATTGAAGACCAAAGAGCTAGGTGGTATGTACCAGATTAGGTCGCTACACAGCAACTCGGCATTGAAATATTTGAAAAATTTGTTACCACCTTTATTTAGCCGTACCCATATACAAGTCTGGTCGCCCAGTTGGGGAATGGGCGCGAGGGCAAACGGCGAACAAACACATCCGCACTGGGCGACCGGCCATACATTAGTTGCCGACAACTTGCCTAGCAGTGCAGTGCAGCAATGCTGAATTTGGTGTGATTCGGGTAATTTTAATTTATTATAGGTACCTTCTATTAATCATTCATATTACAATTGTGAAAGGGAGAAATAAGAGGAATATTTTGTTTACTAATATTATTACAACATGACGACAAAACGAAATACCGCCCGACAATATTGAATTAGTAGAACCAGTTGTTGATGAAACAGATTTAGAATTTAAAAATAAAGATTGACATGTTCAATGTCAGCTCTCATTTTAAATATTTACGACTGTTTAAAAAAGGAAGAAAATTAAAAATCAGATAATGAAATTATAAATAGAATTCACGTATTGACTAAAGTTTCACTGTCCACAATTTTTCGTGTTATTAAACAAGGTGTTATAGATCATTGCGTAAAGATAAAGCGAAAACAAAAATTTTAAAATATCAATGACATGACAATGGACGTAATTCGGCGGACAATTTATAATTTATATAAAGAAAATTGAGGACATAAATAATTAAAATATGTTGTTGGCCAACTGAACATATAATACAAATTTTCTACAAAGTATATACAAAATTTTATTATTTTTTACCTTTAAGGAACTTTTTTAGGGACGCCTATGAAACTCATTAAATTTTATTGCTAGGCGTTTTTATACATGTTTAGCTGTAAAAACCCATACATATTATACAGTACGGTCATATGAAGAACATAACCATAGCACAAAATATCATTACTCCATTACCAATCAACTGTCAACGAACACCTACTAAACATGTGCAAAACCTCCATGGGTACCATTCATTGGTTTATACCAAAAAAGATTTTCGAACTATCTTTGTAAAATTTCTTGCACAGGTCCATGCGACTAAGAATTATCCGTATTTTTAACATAAATGAGCGAATAAATCAGTTAATTTGCCCATCTCGGCATCAGCCGGATCAAGGTCATCCCATCCGTCCAAGAACCACCAGGACGCACTTACGAATCCAGCAAAAACCTCGCGAGGAATTTTTAGCGCAGGCAGCTGTACCGCGAACATCCATCTTACTTTTATTTCCTCGTTAATAGTATTTAGCCTACAAAACCCAAATAGCTCGACTTCTAATTACCACCAATGACCGAGACATTAATTCGCCATCTATCATTGCCTCTTAATCCGCAAAAAGTATCTCACGCAGCAACGGCCGAGGTAATGGCGAGTATTGTTCCTGACCCCGGGAAATACGTTGATTATAATTACGTGTTATTAAAGGCAATTTGTGGCATGTTAATTAGAACAAGCTGCAGCGAGCTAGAGATTGATGCGAAGTGGTTTCGCTGGAAGTTAATAGATCCTCTTCTTGGGCTATTAATGGGCGCTTTTTTCTTTGTTCTTCTCCGCGAGTGGCTAGTAAAAGGCATTTCAGAAATGAGTCTAGAGAAGAAATAACAGTTACGAATAAGCCAAGGAGCTTCAAGAGCGTGCTAAATAGCCGCGATTAATTATACTTGCACCAGAAGAAAAAGAGCTGTTTCTTTTGTGGCACGTATTCAATTTTTGTGGGTCTAATTTCACCACTACAAAGTAGTTTTTAATTCATTTAATCCTCAAAAAGTAATCCATATGAGTTAATGGAAAAGTGATTTTACAAAAGCTCTCAACACATGTCCCAATCACATTACAAACTAATTTCAATATGTGGTCTATTAAGACATCAAGACTGTCTAGTACACTGGCATTTCCGGGGTACCATAAGGATCCGTTCTTGACCCTCTATTGTTCCTTATATTTATTAACCAATACTATATATAGATTTAGATTCAGTAGTATCTCTTGTGACATATTGAAATCCTATTGGGCGAGGTCTCTAATTCGATTCATTTCATTGCCAATCAACACTGCAAAAATACCAGAAGATGTAACTTTGCAGAGAATATAAATAATGTGCCAATAATTTATTGTCTAAACACTAAAAAGATACAATTTTTACAGTCATACAGAAAGTATGGATATTATACAGTGTCTACTGAAGTTGGAACCATATGGAAAACTTTTTTATTATTGGTTTTATGAAAAAAAGTTATTCTTCATAAAAAGTTCTGCATGGTCTAAAATCTAAAATGCAACCCTCAGTTATCAACATGTCCCAGTCATATACGAGGTATATCAGAAATTATGTATTTTGCTGAAGAGTAGAGTACCTTTATTTTTGACAATACAGAAGAATGTTACAAAGAAAGTTATTTTGAATTAAAAGGTATTTTCAAATGTGTAATTACAGCCATTTAGAATGAAGATTCAGGTTTTGTGATTATTTACGTTTTACATTAACCAATGACTACAAATTGTGAATTTTGTAGTCATTGGTCCTTAAAATTCGTTGAACAGCAATTTTATCCAAATTCAATTCTCGGCCAGCCTGCCGTATAGAATTTCGTGGATTTTGTTCGAAATACTGTAACAGTCTAGCTATATTAACATTATTTCTTACCCTTTGGTCAGTTATTTGATTTTTCCGAACAGAAAATGCATCTTCGTTTCGACGCAAGGTCGCTTCCAATCTTGTAAAGGTTCTATAATTCAGAATGACGCGCTCTGGATACCTTTCTCGATATAACTCTACAGCTCTTCTTGAATTTTTTTGTGACTCGCCGTAAATTAGCAACATATCAACTTTCTCTGAATGAGAAAACATTTTGTAAGCACAAAAGTTATACAGGGTGATTCACAACTTATCCAAAAAAATTTGGGAATAGATGCAGCATGAGAAGTGAATAACGTAAAAAAATTTTTGTAAAATCCTTAGAGAAATCCGAGAAAAAAATATTGAAGTTATAGTACATTCAACCACTACATAGCTGGACAACTGTAGTCTCTGGCGTCATTCGCAATACGCGTGGAGAGCCATGTGACTCCTAATACTGAAATCCGTCGTTGCGGTAGTTTTTACCTGTTATCTGTGGTGTTTACAACAGTTTTTTAGTAGTTAGTGTCAAAAATGGTTTGCGTGTGTAGCAACTCAGAGTTGATGGATATAGTTTTAATTTATGGTGAAGCAAGGCAACATTTGTATTATGGTGAAGCATTTGTGTTATGGTGAAGCAAGACATCATTTGTGTTAGTTCGTAGAAGTAAGACGGACCCAAAAGTGTTTACACGTTAGTGGATAAAATTTTGAACAATTGGTGTTGTAACATCGAGTATGTCAACTGATTTTATTATTTAAAAACATAAATTAATTTTATTAATAATTAATAAAGGCAAAAGCATTTGAATTTGCCGATATAAAATAGGTGCTATAAAATTATATTTATTTCTATCCTTGCGAAAGTTTTTGTCCGTTTTTATCACACCGCCATGCCGGTCGCATTGTGTGCGGTCAGGTTTTACAGTGGACCAGTTTCCAGTGCCGTGCAGAAGTGTATTTTTAAATCAATTTCGAACTGCCTTTTTGATTTGTTCTTTACAAAATTGTATTTGTAAGGGTCCCCTATACATTCAGAATTTTTTTTTTGGATAAGTTCTGAATCACCCTGTATATACGTTTGACGAACGTCAATAACTAGTATTGAGTGACTAGAAAAAAGAACTTTTTAACAAGAAACAAATTGAAAATGGAGCTTACCTCATCCCATTTAACACCATGTGACCCAAATTTTTTCTATCCTCACAGTAGGCCCATACTTTCGAGTTTGAGACAGCCTGTACACATTTTTTTGTGCACTATTCATTTTATGCTAGGGTTCACTTTAAGAAAACTCATAAATATGAAACTGATTTTTAGTATTCATGATTTAAGTACCCTGAATTGTACCTTCATGTACTAGTCATAAATGTTAATGGTGGCAACTAAAAACACAAAAGTTACGAGCTGGGCTGTAAAACATGTTCGAAATGGAACCCCGCTGAGGCTTATTCCCATGAAAGCAGAGTTGATACGTGTTAATCAAGGGTAAACAAAAACATTTTTAAGTGACACTGAAATTAAATATTTGTACGCTTTTATGGGCAAACTGCAGTTACTCGGGCATAAAGCCGTTGTTATTGGTTTTACCGTAGATGGAATACCGTAAATCGACTGGCTATGAACCCTCGGGAATCTTGGAAATCTGTTTTTCAAGCAGCCCCATTTAAGGAAACCATAATTTTCAATTATTAAATGCACTGTTTACAATGATATTTCACATTCTTAAACTTCAAGTATTTTTTCTTCAAGCCGAACCTTATCTATGTTTATGTTGTTCCAGAAACTGAAAACTGTGATGGAAAAGTGTGAAAAAATCCCGTCGGAGACATTCGAGTCGCGCTACGACAAAATGAACGAACGCCTGTACTTGCCCCATGTCGACCATGACGGTAAGCCACTAGGTGACATGGATTACATGGTGCCATCACCCCCCGAAAGGGACATCACTAATAAGCCGCAACTGACCCAAGCTGGTCTTGAGGCATACGCCAGGTCGTACCAGGAGCCCAAGTTCTGCGAAGAACCCATGAAGCCGAACCACGGACACCTCACAGAGTCAGGTGAGCGCATAAATATAATTTAGGTGCAGCTCGATGTTAATACAAGGTGTCACTTTGAGTGGGAGTAATATTTTTACAGAGGCTACCTTTGACCTTCAGAAATATATATCAATAGTTTATTTTTCAAATTCAGTCGTCTCTGGACAAGCTAGTGTAACTTCAAACTACGGCGCGCTTCAGTCGCACAGCATGCACAATTGCGAACTGGGCTCTGCATTGTTGTCAAATCTTATTTTTAAAGGAAGTTATTAAAAAGCAAATTTCCACACCGCTCGTCGTGAGGTTTGGCATATTACTTTTGATGAGTTCTACCATCCCACAAAAACTAAAGTTTAATTTTATTTAATCGATCACGGTAATATCAAAAAAATAACACCTTGCGAAGTTATACAAATACAATCTGGTTTATTAATTTTTTTTCATTGTCACAGCCAACAATGTGGTTAGACTTAAAAACAACTGGCAACGTTGATAGTGCACTAACATAATTTCATATACAATTTCCGGGTGCCCCAGTTTACGCAACTCAGTGGCGGCGAACACATTTACGAATTAGTGTGCATTTTAAAAAACTAATTATAACGACTATTTGATTAAAAAAATAATAATATCAGATTCATGTTTAGGGGTACATTGTTACCCCTAAAAATCTGGCTCCCACTTAAAATTACTAGGAATGTCTTTGTGTATTTACTTTCAACATTTTGTTTTTGTTATAGTTTCGTTCTAATGTTTTTTTCAAATGATTTCTAGTCTCTAATTCCTTGTCCAAATACATCGTTTTTAAGACAGCGCTAATCGCTAAAGCAACAAGTGGTGGCGCCTCGAATGACTGTTAGTAGTTTACTGATAAACATTTAAAATAACTAAAGTCGTTGTTTCGCCAATAATACCAATAACACATGAATTTCAGTTCTTGTAGTAATCTAACTAACAATATACAGGGTGTTAATAATAAGTTTTGCCAAACTAATGGCGTATTCTACCGATGAAAATAATCAACCTTTGCCCTATAAAAATTTTTGATAGGACGCTTCTCTACAGAGATACAGGGTGTTAAAAGTTTAAAATATTTATATGATTTTTCCTGTAACTTTACTGGCAAAGAATATTTAGTTATAAAATTTGAGGGATGAAATTTTTTTAGTAGGGACTATTTTTTCATAGATAACTTATTCCAAAATACACTCCAGTGGCGTAGTTATTGGGGGAGTAGGGGACCTTTTTTGAAAAAAAAATAGTACGCCACTGGTTTTTTAAATTTTAAATGTCTGTAAAATGTACAATCAATTTGTGGCAATAAAGTACCCGTAAAATTTACTGGTCTTTAGATATTGGCAAAACTTATCATTAACACCCATTTGTTAAATGTAGTACTTAATTATTTTTTGTTTTTTGTTCTTTTTTTTGTTTTTGTTCTTTGTGTTTTGTTCTTGTTGTTTCAAGTACAATTTAGCTGACAAATTGATGGTTGAAGAACAATATAATAGTTATATATGAGCCAAAATCAAGAAGTGGTACCCGAAAATTATGAGAGTCCTGATTTACTCAGCTATGTCACTTTATCGAACTCTTCCCTCCTTTCTGATCTATATCAGCTCTTTCCGAACTAAAAAGTGACATTTTCTAGAGCCGCAGTACAAAAAAATTAAACAAATTTTTCAATATTTATTATTTATCACCATTAAATATTTGAAGACCATTCCTACAGGCACATCATTGTGTTGCAGGTTTAGAAGAGTTCATGGAGTACACGCGCAACTACGAGGACTCGCTCTTCAACTCGATGAATTCCAAAAACGAGGAAAGCATGCTGACCCACCTCCACCAAAAGCAGATCTCCTACGCCCAGTCGGAGGGCTACCACAGCTACGTATCCAGCACGGACTCGACCTCGACGCCGTTCCTGGACCGCCTCCGGAGGGACAGCGAAGCCGTCGTCGTCAGACCCCTTTCCTCCAACACCTGGGACGAACTGAACCAGGAAGAGCCCAACGCGAGACGCGAGGGCAGAGACAGCGTGGTGACCACCAGTTCGGGAAGTGCCTCTTCCAGTGAGACCCTCAAATGGCACGGTTCCATGAGTGACGTTTCCGTGACCTCGCACAGCAGCTCGCATCTTGCCAATAACTCCTCCACGAGGCAGCACATAGCGCACAGTGCCCGGGTTCAAACCCCCCAGAGACACCATTCTGAGAGTGTGCTTTACATGAGCGGTGAACCGAAAGACAGCAGTGTAGTGTGGAAGGACAGGGAAAGCAGGAACAATAGCGCGAATAAACTGAAACTGTTCCCCGTGAACACTTATACGGTGCAGGAGAATGACCACCACGGTGGCGGAGTCAGTAATGCTTCCAACAACAGGTGAGCCAAACCGCATTCTCTATTTTTTGATTCTACGTTAACAGGAAACAATGATTCATCTAAAATTCCTTAAAAACAGCGAATGGTCAGTGGTGTACATTTTTTTACAAACATTGAACTTTAATCAGGAAAGCGCACATTACAAAAAATCTTTTACAGTTTTACTTACAAAATAATCATATTCCTCAAAGATATTCTGAACATTTATCCCATTCTAAATTGAAAAAGTATTTTTTAATCGAAAAGGTTATCTTTTCATTTGGTGCTATAATGCTTCCAGCTTCCAACTCTTCGGGGAGGATTTTTGGACGTCTTATTTTTTATATGGCCAAACAGATAAAAATTTAAAGATGTGAGAGCAGGGCGCAAGCTCCTAGTAGTTAATCTATCACTATAAAACTCCTGCAGATATCTTCTGCTGCAGGATATGCTGTGGCTCCGTCTTGTTGAAAATACACATCATCTTCGTGCGTTAATTCCAGGACTTGTTGTAAAATGTTGCGGTAACGTTCTCCATTTATTACTTCTCGTAAAAAAATTGGGCCTATTATCCGGCTTCTTGAAACAGCTAACCAGATACCTATCTTCTGAGGATGTAGCGATGTCTCAACACAATTACGCGGATTTTTTGCAGCCCAACTTCTATTATTCTGACTATTTACATAACCAGACAAATGTACTCATCCCTCATTGGAATAAAATGTCGGGTCTAATAAATTAATCGTAGTTTAAATGTCGACCTAACCACAACATTGGTTGTGGTCAGGTCGACGTCACTCTTACACAACAGAAACCTTATAGGGGTGCATATGCATAATATGTACAATTATTTCTTGTAAATACATATACAAATTAGCCAGCTTAAAGCTGCAAGGTCTTATGTTGATCCCAAAGAAATATTCATTTTTTTAAATTTGTATTTATTTTAAATTTGAATAAGTTTAACTTAAAAAATTTCTTAACACAAACAATATTGTTTATCGCAGTACATGTATAAGTAGATAACTACAAAACAGGTTTTTTTTAGGACTTCGCACCATTCATTGCCGAATATCTTCAACAACATTTTATGTTAAAGCAGCAATCCTTGTAAATGCAATGTTTTTCTTCATATTTTGCCGTTTCGGTATAAACAACATTTTTACACAAATTTACAACAAAAATAAAACATAACCTCAAAATATTCGTTTAACTTACAAAAAAAAACGTCACAGTTATGAAAACAACTTTTTTTTCAACTCAATAGACAAAGAGTATAAGTACAGAAATGCTGGTAAACACTGTTAAATTGTACGAATAACAAGCATAAAACCACGAAAAATTACGAACTTTCTTGGATCTAGGGTCCCAGTTGGTGATTTTTCTTTGGTAATTTCTGAAAGACCAACTTATGAAAATCAAATTTACTGAACATCAAAACAAATCTGATCACATACTTCGAGCATTATACTACCGGAAGTAGCATGTCATTGCGAAAAGTGTGGCTGAGAGACAGACAGTATCTCAGTAAATACTGTCTCATTCTAGGACGCACGCGATTGGTTGGAAATGAATGCTAACGCTCATTGGCTCTCGCAGGGCTCCCGTCGTTGAAGCGAAGAATGAGACAGCATATACTGAGATACTGTCTGTCTCTCTCGCACACTCAGCCACACTTTTCGCAATGGCATAATACCTCCAGTAGTATATGCTCGAAGGATCACATAAGACACGGATATTTATGAAGGTACTGTTGTACATATGTATTCCAAATATTCAAAAAAATGCAACCAAAATTTAATGAGATGTATTTTAAAAACGTACCTAACAACATACTAATGCGGGGGAAAAAAATAATTGATATATCAAATTTCGAGTGTGATATCGTGATGACTTGTGTGGGATTTTAGCAGAATTTAATAATATTCAAATTACAGTAGTGTGAGTAATTCATCAGTATAAATTAATTATAATTCCATAGCTGATGGCAACTGCTGATGTACGTTTTATGACGATTTTCTAAGAGTTAACGTGACATGACTTGGCGATTAGTAATACAAAAACATGTGATCATAGAAGAACAGTCGATTTCTATAAGTATACTTTTTAGTCCAATGAATCACGTCGTGTGTTACGCAAATATGAGAAGAATTATTCCCATTTTTTTAATATAAAAATATTTTAAATTGATTATTGATTAGCAGCGCCTTTTTATTTAATTTTAACTGCTAGTGAAAACGGACAACGAATTTCTTAAACAACTGGTTGTTAAATATAAAAATAACACCACTTGAGACATCTCAGTTCAAAGAGCATACCATTCATCTATGCTTCTCTTGCGAGACGTTGGGCATGTTGACAAAAAAAAGATAATAGACTATTCTAATTTTATGGTTGAACTAGAAATAAATAATGACGTAAATAATAATAATAATAATAATAATAACGTCTTTATTGCAATTTCTAAGTGAAATTTACAAAAGGCGAAAGTCTAGCCCACTGGCCATTCTAACTTAACCCTTCCTAAAACTTAAAACTAACCTTATATCTAATAATTATAATCCTAAAATAAAACAAACATTACAATACATAATAATAAAATATAATGAACAAACTACAAATATTGACTTATTTTTAAAATTAATAAATATTATACATTTGTTTTTTGCAAGTGTAGCAAATATCGTTTCAAATGTATTTTGAACGATCCCTCAGACATGGTGCCCTTGATGGTATTATCCAAAGAATTGTATAATTTAACTGAGTTATAAGTAAATGACCGCTGAAACATGGCAGTCTTATGATGAGGCATAGTTAATGATGTTGGGTTCCGTAAATTTAGAGTGTGAACTGCGTTGCGACATGTTAACTTATTTTTCAAATACTCAGGAGATGAAGAGTTTAGTATACGAAACACAAACGAAAGGAAATTGTATTTGAATGTGTTATTAATTTTCAACCAACTTAAGTTTAAAAAAGCAGTAGATATATGGTCATACTTTCTCAGGTTATTAATTAACTTACAGCAAGTGTTTTGAATTTTTTGTAATCTGTTACATGTTACTTTGTCTAAACATGGATAAAATACTATATTACAGTAACAAATTTTAGACAATACTAAACTCTCACACAGACATTTCTTCATCTTATACGTCAACAAATTTTTATTAGCATATAGTAATTTTAATCTGATGTAACATTCCTTGGTAACATTTGTGACATGGTCTACGAATTTCAAATTTTCATCAAAATATACTCCTAAATTTTTTGCAGTGGTAACAAACGGAATCAACTGACCATCAATGTTAATACGCATGCTTGCTTTTAAGTGTTCACGTTTTTTCTTTGTGGAAAACAAAACTACTTTTGATTTATTGGGATTGAGGCGTAAATTATGATTTATAGCATAGTTATTAATATTGGATAAATCATCATTTATAATTGTCAGTGCCTCATCAGACTTATCAGTTGCAAAGTGATGATAAAGCTGTGTATCGTCTGCAAAAAACTGAACATTACATTTTGTAATTACATTTGTTAGGTCGAACGTATAAAGAAGAAACAATAAAGGCCCAAGTACTGAACCCTGCGGCACACCCGACACGATTTGCTGGGCAGTCGAAACATTATTATCCAATATTACTTGTTGGAATCTGTTTTCTAAATAGTTACTTAAAAAGTTCAACGAGACATCGTTAAAACCTAAGTACTTGCATTTGGCGATAAGCAGTTTATGATTAATTGTATCGAAAGCTTTTGTAAAATCTAAAAGAACCAATGCAGAAGCTTGCCCAATGTCTAAAGCACGCAATATATTGTCAGTCACATTTGCCAAGGCAGTTGCCGTACTATGGCCCTTCCGAAATCCAGACTGATGTACTGGAAACAGATTATGCTCTATTACATACTTAGTTATTTGCCCGTAAACAACTTTTTCCAAAATTTTTGATAAAATTGGCAATAGACTAATGGGCCGCAGATCACTCATATTCGTTGGGTTGTGACATTTAGGAAGAGGTGTTACAAGAGCTGTTTTCCAGGAATCTGGAAAAAAACCCCTTTCCAGACAGCTATTGACAATGTGAGTGACGTATATCCCTACAGCAGGCATACACAGTCTCAACATCTGAGGAGAAACACCATCAACACCTTGAGCGTTTGATTTTATATCTGAAATAATTTTAAGTACATCTGCATGATCGACAAGATTAAAAGCAAACTTAAAGTCACGGTGAAAAAAATGGGTCTGATAGAACTCTATACTTTGAGAACAGACATAATCACTATTTTGAAAGACTGAGACCAGATAATCATTAATGCCGTTCGGATTACATAAATGTGCTGGAATTTCAGAATCATTAGTACATTGAATTTTTAGTGTCTTAAGAGCTTTATAAAAAAAGCGTGTATTTTTTTGATCATTTATATGTTTTAAGTATGCAGCTTTTTCTCTACGAACAGAAGCTTTAGCAAAATTTCTCCACTGTTTGTAATTGTCCCAGTTTTCAGGTGTTTTGCGCCTTTTATAAATATGTAAAGCTTTATCTCGTAAATTCATAATCAATTTCAAATTTTCAGTTAGCCAAGGAGCACGCGGTTTGCTAACACGGACGGTTCTCAGTGGCGCATGTATATTAAAAAGGTGCATGATATGATCAGTAAGAAATTTCACCTTATCATCAATATCATGTATGCGCAATATATTAGACCACTGTATATTTTCCAGGTCACAATTAAATCTGTCAATATTAAAACTTTTAAAGTCCCTAAAAGTAACCATTTTTTGTTTACGCTTCTGTATGTTGAAAGAAATTTCACAAAACGTGAGACGGTGATCAGAAAAGATATCTGTATTTAGTGTGCCTCTACTGCTACATCTTTCCGGATTGGTTGTGAATATTGGATCTAACAATGTCTCTGTATATCGAGTAATTCTGGTAGGTTCTGTAATTAATTGCACCATATCATAACTATCAAAACACTGGCTAACTTTATTATTCATATGAAATAAATTAACATTTACGTCACCCATGACCATAATGTGATCAAAAGAAGGAGTGAGAACAGACATAATATTATCCAAACAATCAATAGCTTGATCTAGGTGGCCTTTAGGTGGCCGATAAATAATACCCAAGGCTATATTTGTATTACCAAAATTTATCTTTAACCACATATGCTCCAAATGCCTCTTTTGCTCGTCCATATGGGGATCTAGAATAATCATTTCGCAAGAAAAACTACTATTTACAAAGACGCCAACCCCACCCCCACGAGTGTCTCGGTCTCGACGATAAAAATTATATCCAGCAATATTCACTAAATTTGATGGAATATCTGATGACAACCATGTTTCAGTAACAGCAAAAACATCAAAAACATTTTGTGTTATCATGTCTGATACATCTAAAAAACTTGGTAAAATGGACCTAGTATTAACATGGCCAAACTTAATTACTCTTTTAGAACGTGTATTAACCATAATTAATCTTTTCTTTCAAATTAGTGACATAATTCTGATATATTGTACAAGATGAATCATAGACGGCATGGTTAACTGGTACATTTTTTTTATGTGATTTATTATAATTAATACAATTTATACAAAAATATTCTTCAGATTTACATTCCCTTGTTTTATGCTTTTGTGTACATTTCGGACAAACTAACTCTAACTGACATTCTTTTTCGATGTGACCAAAAGAACAACATTTGTAGCACCGAAGTACGCGCAAATGATCTAGTACGGCAGATTTTTTCCATCCAACATACAAATATCCTCTTCCAATTAACAAGTTTCGCAACGCAGGCGGGACTTCAATAATTATATTAATGTTAGTAAAATGTTTAAGTTTTGTGACAACTTTAATATTTGAACTGTCAACCTCAAGGTTATTTAACGTCAGAATATTGTCAATTATTTGTTGATCAGTATCAAGACCATTTAGGCTTGCATTTTTAATTATTAGTCTCGGATTAAACTTTTTAACCTCATTGATGAGGTACTTAGAACCTAGCTCACTACTTAAACTAGTTTTTAGATTAGTACAACTAGTAAATAGTACAACTACAATGTTGACCTTTCGTTTTTCTTCGAAATGTGTGCAATTTGTTACAGATTCATCATAAAGATAAAAAATATGTCCCAAACTAAGCCAAACGAATATTTTTAAAACTACATTTTTTAAAAAGGTAGAGTTGATGTTACCAGATCAGATTTCGTACGAAAATTGAATCGGTAATTAAACAATTTTGCAATAACAATGGCTTATTATTACACTAATCAACAATCACCTTAAGAATTGGCATAATTACTGACAATTTTTTTGCTTATATAAGAAACTAGTTTATCCTATCAAGTTAATTTCTTAGAACTGTTTTTACAATCACTTGACTATGCATATTGCGAATAAATCACGAAGTTAATGACATACGACATACATGTGTATGTTTGCTGGCAATAAAAGTAATTATTTCCGATTTATTAATTTTTTCTTATGGGAAAACACCGATTTTACGCATATAATTAATATACCGTCGCTGTTATGAATCTTCTAGAGCGATAATAATTCATCTTTTCGTATTCATGGGTTTCCTTACATCTTAATTAAACGCTTACTGAAGCGGCTCTGTCATCGCTCCCCGGGTACAGTTAAAATCCTCCCACCTTTTTTTTCTTGGACTGGTTGCGAACGCTCGTTCGTTGTCTCACATAATTCCTCCGTGGTACGTAATCCGATGGAAGTGTATCAGTTATTTTTCCAGCTGAGGTACTTTATATACTCGCATGTATATGTTAAGCTGGAGTAATCAGAACCGACCAGTTAAAAAAATAAAAATCGGTCCCACTTCCTTTCCGTGACTCATGTTCTTGGCGGTGGGCATTAGGCATTCCGCCTCTGTTAATGTACGGTGCTTTCATTTAGAGCAGAGTGAGGTGATATCGACTATAAAAAAATCACTGTGTTCAAAATCGGCCAGCGAAGTGAACCATATGAAAACTTATGTTGTGTCTCTCAGTCGTATTCTAGCAGGGATATTTTTAAAATTATGAACCCACCAGTATTGAAAATTTCATAAAGAAAATGACTTTTGCTCCTGTCTAGCAATAAATTATATAGAAAACAAGGCACGCCCCTGCTGCGGTTAATTGTTAGAGTAGTTCTGATAACAGAACTTTATGGGCTTATTATTTTTTGAAATTCTACCTCGACAAATATCGTACGGACTGTTCAACCATCTGCTACAGACGCAGCAGATGGTCGGAAAGCTCAAAGGAACTACAGCCTGTTTTTATTGTTGTTTTACACATTTCGCCAATCGTTTTATTTAACAAAAAAGTCCAGGTAGCGATTATATCACTAAAGTTTATTTTTGTGACGTCAATATAGTGCCTAACCCTTCTCACAAATATGTGGAAGAAATTTTGCCTGTGGAAGTATTTTCTCAGCTCCATTTGCTTTAATTGTATTCCTTTGAATAAAAAAATAATCAAAACCCAATGCCCAACAAATGAGTAATTTAGGAAAATTAATAAAGGAAAAAATCACCAGCAACTGCAACTAAAAAAGTCGTATCATCAATTTGAACGATATTTGCGGTAAAAATGTGAGAAAACCTTAAAAAAAATTTCACCACGATTTTGAAGTGTTTAAGCTCAAAAAACGTGACCCTTTATTTTTTTTTTCAAAAGTTTGATTGTTTGAAGCAAAGCAACGGTTCTCTAGATCGAGATGAAACTTCAAAAGGTTCTTCTGGGTATATCGAAATGTAAAAGTCATGCTTAACATTTGTCATTTCGTGAATATTTCTAATTTAGCCGTCAATTTTCTAAAAAACCATAATTACCCTTTTTTCCTGTTTTTTAAAATTCGTGTATAAGATCGTCTTTACGATCAGTTGTCGCCAAGATATCGATGATTGAAGACAAAAGAATCCTTTTCCATTAAAAGCCCGATATTTCGATGAAAAATGGTCGTATCGAAATTTAAAAAAAAGGAAATTGAAGCTGAATAAACAAGCTATCTGGTCCATGCAATGGCTTAGCTGAAAAAAAATTTTCCAACTTCGTGGAATCAGAAAATAAAAAAAAATTAAAATAACCGTAGCTCTTAAAAAATTTCGACCGAAAGATCTAAAAACTAGAATCTTAGAGCTTCAATGCTCTTTTTTAATTTCCGATACGACCATTTTTCACCTAAATACAGTCTGCCAAAAATCACGGAAAAATTTCGGAAATTCTTTTGACCCTCCAATTTTTTGCATTAGTTTATATTATTTGTAACTAAAATTTTAATTAAAACATTTTAATTTCATTCTTCTACTTTATTAACGACCCAACACGTTTTACATGTTACTATGAGCTGAGTGCTACAACCTTCCGGATCCAATTTTGATTGTCCATAAAGAACCCGTCTTCTCCGGTCTAATGCTTCACATCTAAATAATTTTCTTTCGTGGTGGTTGTTTGATGAAAGTTTTCTCATTTTGGTGTTTAGGTCGATTGTTCCATTATACTGTACTAATTATTGGCCCATTTCCTTATTTGATCAAGTATTGTGGCTCTTGACATTTCCAAAGCAGATCCTGGACCAATACAAGGAGTTGACGCCAGTAAGCTTTCTAAACCGCCATAGGTATGGTTTTCATTGCTCCTATTATTACCAAATAATAGAGTCTTTGTACCTTTCCTATTACTATACCAGATGCATATATTATCATGAGCTAATCTAATATATGAACCAGTGGCATTAATCCCCATTCTTTAAGTTAACTCATCTGACTAACATGAGTGAGATCTCTATTTCCGATTTTGCTCAGCTGCTGGTTCCAAGTCTTGAGTACAACTCCAGTATTTCCATGATACCTCTAGCTGTTTACTTTATGGATCAAGTGTTCCCAATTCTCTGAACAACAAAGACTTTAGCTTACTAATATAATAAAACGCTTCAGTGAAACAATTACCTTGGTAATTCATATAAAGAAATGGAATTAATGATAATATAAACAGTCAAGATGACAAGAACAAAAATCGAACATAGTTATTATTTATTCACGCTCCTTTCTTTGTTTTCAGGTTGTCTCTGTCGTTGCAGTCAGCCCTCTCAGTAGCAGACCGTATCAGTGAACTGGAGAGGCAACAGAAATACTCATACCTGGACCCCGACAAGAAGCACAAAGTCCCCGACCCGACTCTCAAAGCCATCCAGAAAAAAGCCCTCTTGTCCTTCTATGAAAGACACCACAACAACGCCACCAAAACCGCCTGGCGTTCTGAGCCCCAACTTGCCCAGAGCCAGCAACTGAGCATCCCCCAACCCCCGCCAAAACTCAAGATACAACTCCCGTCGCGAAGAGCGTCTTCCGCTTCCGACTACGCGTCTGGAAACACCTCGAAAAGGAGCAGCTTGGCTTCCAACTTAGAATCGAAGACTACCGACAACATCAGCAAAACAATTCCGAGACACCAACACAGCAACTCGTGTGGAAGTCTATCCACTGACTTGCTGGGTCCGGTGATAATGGGTCCTTCCATATCCGTTGATGATTGGGTGCCGGAAAAGCCACCGGCAAGGCCACCTAAGAACCCGCATTTACGTACGGCCTTTCCCGACTTATTTCAGGATCAGAGAGTGCCTAGCCCTGACTTGCCTCCGCCTTCTCCTCCAACTGTTATCGAGGACGAGGTTTTTAACAGCGACGAACCACTGCCTCCTCCACCGCCTGAGTGTGAAACAAGCTGGCAGGAGGAATTTAATGACAGACTCAAGGAGAGCACTACAGGGCATCAAACTCCCGCTCCGCAGGTGCAGAAGTCCAACTGCAAGAAGGAGAGCAAGGTTATTCAACAGACTGTAGGTAAGAAAATCTAAAGACTATTATAATCTTATGGACAGATAGACGGAACTGGGATATGAACCAAAAAGACACTTGCCACTGTTTTACAATACCTGGTGGTTAATAACATTCATTTATCTTCACTTGAACTTAAATTTTGTAATGTCCTTTTAAAATAGTTTTATTGATTTTAGGCATTCCTGAAAGAAACTTGAGACATTCCAGTGTACGATCCTCCATAAAGACCAAATCCGGAGAGCAAATTTTCCACCAAGTCAGCAGCAAGCCATACAACGCGTTTGTCCAGGCGGAAAGACCTAGCAAACCAGAACAAATCCTTGGTTTCCCAAACCAGAGGGGGTACCAAGAAAGGTCAAGCACGAGATATCCCACCAATCAAAAATTGGTACTGAACGGAAACGTGGCAGTGAGTCAAAAAGTGAACGGACTGCCAGAACCGTACAAGCCAGAACCTCTAAGGCCACATAACAGAGAAGATATGAAGAAGCAGCCTGCTTTGCCGCCTGATACTCATAGAGCTCATAGGGCATCGATTGCGGAGAGTCCAATCAAAGACGTTCCTCCGCCTTTGCAGCCGAGGCAAATGAGGGTGAATCAGTCTATGAGGGCAAGGATTCCACACGATCACCGTTCTGGGGCCACTTCCAAGACTTCTCCTATGAAGGATGGTATGAGGGAAACAAGATCTGCTTCACTGTGAGTAAATCCACTTTTTCTATGCATAAATCATGAAAATACTAATGCAATTCGTTGAAAAAATATTCTAATTCATTCAATACTTTATATTGAAGGAAAACTGTGTGTTTTCTTAATAATCTGTTAACTTAATCGAATGCAAATGTTTTTTCTGCTCTTCTTCGTCAAAAGAAAAGTTGCCTTTCTGATGAAAGCATGAAAATAGAAAGGAATATTAAACCACAATAGAAGACAAGACTTTAGACACGAACCTATGAAAATTTAATTTACTAAAATCATTTGAGACATCAGTGTCTAGGGTCCTAGTAACTTTTCTAAATGATTTTTACGCCCAACAAGTTTGTAAATTTTTCTGGTAGCTTCATTGAAAGCATAAAATTGTTTCATATGGATAAGGAGTTTTGTTCTAATCAGAAAACACGGGACTTGGGAATTCGAATAACTCTTCAGGCAACACACAATACATCGAGGTGTATAGTGGGTTGCCTACACAGTGCATTACCTTCGCGGAACGTGCATTAAACCGTGAATTGACTTCATTTAAACAAGTACCATAATGATTTTAATTACATATTATTTAATTAGTTGCATAATAACACATTTGAACGAACTTCACGGGTTTATTTCCATTTTACCTTCACTTTTTTCCTATATCCATTAAAGATTCATGTATGTGTGTGTACACGACATGTCCTTTAGCATTTTTTGCTTAGGAAATGCCTCTAAGGCACGGTATAATACGTATAAATAATTTTAATAACGTGTTATTAACTAGATTTATAACCGTAAAATGTATTTTTAGAGCGATTAAAATATTTCACATTTCATGATTGGTGACAAGGACGTTTAACGTACCTACAGACATTGGAAAATGCACTTAAAAATCGATTGTAGGCGACTTGATCTAGATCTAGAACATTTCGATGAATACAATAATTTCAATGTTGCATTTACTTTAATTATTAACTCTTTATTTCGTATACAGGGTGTTCTACAAGCTCTATGACTAACTTTGACAGATGGTAGTTGGGTTAATTTTATTTTTTCTTATTAAGAACAGGTCTATTAGTTTTTGTTTTGAAGTTACAAGCATTTTAAAAAATGTAAGGTCATTAATTAACTAATCTTAAGACTTTAAAACTTGTTCAAAATGTCCACCCTTAGCTCGAATGCAAGTCTCACATCGGCGAACTAAAGATTTCGTCACTGGACGGATGAGATTTGGATCATTTCTTATCTGGTTAGCTTGTTGTTGACCTATCCATTTATTTGGGAAATGATCATTTAACCACGCAGTTACTTGTCTCCCTCCATGTGGTGGTGCACCATCGTGCTGATATCGCATCAATGAAATAAAAAAAAATGTTTTCCAAGAAATTTCTACAGGGTGGGGCATTTTAATCTATGCACCCAAACTTACCTAAGGGAGATACGGAAAAATGGTTCAGACAAAGGCTATTCAGTACAATGGGTATTACCTATTTGTGTAACTAGCTTTGACCTTGATATTCATTTTCAAGGCCATTTGTAGGTCGGCGTTTTTTTTTAATAGGAACCCCTATTTTTGACACCGGATTCCAAAAGAGCAGGAAATGATATTTTCAAGCTTGTTTTCGTGACCTCGAGAAGGTCGATTCAAGGTCAAATACTACCTGGTAGCTGTTTATTTGAGTTTTCTGGCGGAAAAAACGTTGTGAAGGCACCTTTATCGAAAATATTGAACTCAAATGTGACGACCTTAACAATGTTAACCTTGAGGTCATTTTCAAGGTTATTTGAATGTCAGTGTTCTTTTTAATGGAAAACTTTGTTTTGAAACCTGATTCAAAAGAGTGAAAAATTGAACGTCTGAATTTATATTTTAATTATTATTGTTGTTCTAACCTTGAGAAGGTCAAATGTTCGAAATTTGCTTGGTAGCTGTTTAATTATTTTTTTTAACAGATTTAACGTTGTCAAGGTACCTTTAAAAGGTAAATCAAACCCAAGTTTGACAACGACCTTGATCTTGAGGTCAATTTTCAAGGCCATTTGAAGGTAACGGTGTAGGAACAACTTTTTTTGACACTGGAATTGGAAAATTTTACGTCAGAAATGTAATTTGTCTCTGTTGTTAGGATCTTGAAAATCGGAACATACAAGAAAAAATGTTTGAAATTAACCCAGATAGCATCTGTCAAAATTTGTCGTAGAGCTTGTAGAACACCCTGTAGTCCTTGGCGCTGGTGTATAGGATTAAAAAAGGACATTTTAACAATCTAACATTAAAAAAACATCATAGTAAAGGCATCTTTGATGGATGCAAAATCCTTTAGCGTTTGTTGTAGCAAAATTATATTACAGAGCCAAGAAAATTGCAGAGTACTCTGTTTGAAACCACTTCCTATTCGCTTCATCCGCGCGCTGAACTTTTGAAAAAAATGTATATAGTTTTCTGAGCGACTTCCGCTATATTTGCCGCGACGATAGATTCTATGTTGTACACAACAAACTGATGACGGGTTCAGATAACACCAGAAGAATTATTGGGTCGATCTATAGAATTTCATATAGGTTGTTCACGATATTTTACAAATAACTGTTATTAGGGTCATAGCTTAAGTACTGGGAATAAGTTCCATCCACAGTAGATATTTCAACTCCGAATGAAATTTTGTTTTCGTGAATTAGGAATTATAATTTGCGGTATTGTATTCGGTGAATTATGTCGCTCTTAATGATAGTTTTTTTATTACGTGCGTTCTTATAGCAACAATAAAAATCAACGGTACTAAACAGTTACGGTCATTAGAGAGCTAAAAACAACATGTTGCTTGTGTGTTACGAAGGTGCATATAAAAATATGGTTGCTTTCTATGTACGATTTTCTACCCTTTGATCACATGGGTACTGAAGTAAATATTGACTTTTACAGTTATTTGTTACCCATAAAAAAATAGCAAACTAAATTGGGAAGTAATGATGGATTGGTACCCTTAGACCTTTTAAGTATAAAGAAATAAATGTATAAATTGTGTTATTGGAATGGTGCTTGGATAAAGTCTAAATTTATTGGTAAAATATGATAAAAATAAGATTTACATTTATAATATTAGCATTATCTACTCATTTTTTATCCCTCGCTCTTTAAATGGAAGAATGTGGTAAATTAGTTCCATTTCGGGAAAACGGGACATTAATCATTGTTCTGCCTTTGTATCAGAATATACTGTATAAAATAATGTATATTTGTATGTAAATTATAAATTATGATGGAGTCTTTCCAACCAAACATTAAAGATATAGCAAGCTGTGTCCACTTCGACGAAGTGTTTTTTATATTCTCTTATTTTTTTACAGTTCCTATCTAATTATTTCAGACATGCTCTGTAATGATTCCAAAAAGTAAATTAATTTGTTTTTATTTTATATGTTGGCTGTTGGATCCTCTTCCATGTAATTTTATTGAAATAAAAAGTAACACAACCATTGCCTTCTTATAATTGCACTTTTTACACTATAAGAATACAAGGTGATTCTGAACTTATCCAAAAAAAATCAGTATGTACAGGGGACTCTTACAAATACAATTTTGTAAAGAAAAAATCAAAAAGGTCAGTTCAAATATGATTTAAAAATACACTTCTGCATGACACTGGAAATTGGTCCACTGTAAAACCTGATCTCGCACAATGCGACCGGCATAACAAAGTGTGATAAAAACGGACAAAAACTTGAAAGAATTTGGCAAGGACAGAAATACATAGAATTTTATAATACCTATTTTATATCAGCAAATTCAACTGCTTTTGCCGCTATTATTATTAATTAATTAAATTAATTTTTGGTTTTAAATAATAAAATAATTTGACATACTTGATGTTACAACTGTTCAAAATTTTGTCCACAGACGTGTAAACACATTTGGGTCCGTCTTACTCAGTTTCTACGAACTAACACAAATTTTTGTCACCATAACACTAATGCTTCACCATAACACAAATGCTTCACCATAATACAAATGTTGTTGTTTCACCATAAATTCTAAAAAAAAAACTATTGTAAACACTATCGCAACGACAATTGTAAAATCGGATTTCAGTATTCGGAGTCGCTGAGGCTACGACAAATGACGCTATGTAATGGTTGAAGGTCCTACAACTTCAATAATTTTTTTCTCACGGAATCTACAAGGATTTTACAAAATAAAACTGTTGAACTACTACTCTAATTTCTGCAATAACAGTAGGTACACTGCATACATAAATTCCAACCCACTACAAATTCGACATATTTTGCAGGGAAACTGTTTGCTTCAAATAAAAGCCATTGTGCTTGGGGTGAAGGGAGTAATTCTTCCCTATACTCTAATTTTATTAGCAGCCGGGTATGGTTCGCACATTTCCAACTTGCAGCTGAATTTTTATGTACACAAAAGGTTCAGATTTACGACTTCGAACAGTGGAAACGGTGTTATCAACTTTACGAGTGTAACGTGGGGTGCAGATGGCGGAATAAACAGATGCGAAAATCCGGAATAAAATATTTCGTTGCCGGTGTTATTAAGCAATAAATCATACTTATAATAATTATCACGTTCCCTTCTTCTGGGCGTTTTTCTTTGAATACTGTAGCCGGCGAAATGCTGATAAAAGTTATTTACGATACAAATTGCCTGTATAGGTGAGAAAATTAACATAGTTCATTATGGTTATCAGTTGATACTGATTACATGCTACAGTATTAAAAGAGCTTCCAGTGGAATTTCATTTAACTCGTGAACGGAAGCACCTGTTCGGTTTTTAGGGCGATCGGTACTCTCAAGACTTCCTTTTTGCAGCAGATACTTAATAGACAAATGTTGTAAATTTATTTGCCCGACTAGTAGAGTACTTGTGCACACTAGGTTCTAATACGTACATATTTACTTAAATTTGTTTTAATAAATAAAATAAATTATTCTTATAAGATTCTGAGCTCGAGAGTTTCTAGTACCTACCCTAGAGAACTAGTCGAAAAAA